GGACTGACAGTGAGCTGTGATCAGTGGTGAACATGAACAGCTTAACATGACCAAGAATCCTTTTAGTGCAGAATGGACTTGTGTGGTCAAGTGTATCACGCTGGAAAGAGCGAATGCTAAAGGGTATCGATTAACTTGTGGTTTGCGTGCTTTAAATGAGATGATGCAGGTGATGAGACTGTTGTGTTTATGTTGTTTTAAGAAGGTAGAGCAGGGTACAGTGTGACTATGGATTGTATGAACGTATGAATGTATCTGACAGGAAAGGATTAAGAGTTCTTAGAATCACTTGAGGAACACTTGTGTTCACAGCAGGCTTTACCTCTGTTGAACTTACATATTATAGTGGAAGCACCAACAGCTTAAAGGGATAGTTCACCAAAAATTATAATTTACTTATTATCTTCTTACCACTATGCCGATGGAGGGGTCGGCGAAGTGTTTGAGTCCACAAAACACTTTTGAGTGTTTTGAGAGGTGAACAGTGTTGCAGCCGAATCCAATATGATTGTGACCTCTTTTTCAGATGTAATAAAACAACGGGAATAAAAACATAACATAGCATGCCTCCATACTGCTCGTACAAGCCCCAACATTCATATTGGACTCCTTTACACTGTGTTTTTAGCCTAAATGTCCTCTGATAATCTCCTTTGACACACGTTCACGTATGGACAGGCACACGGGAACACTGCAAACACTCTCGCCCAAGTGTACTCCACCCTGGCATAGTGGTGAGTAGATAACGGTTGGATTTTTCAGCCAGTAAAGCATCTCCAGAACATACAATGGTGTGTATTAGGCTATGAGTGTGTACAGTTTTACTTATATATATATATATTTTTTTTGTGTTTCTTCTAAATGTGTTTTTATGTCCTGTTTTAGAAGTAATAATTTAGGTAGACAGTTAAACTACAGCTCCAGTGTACAGCTTTGACCAAAGGTCTGCCATGGACACATGTTGAGGACCCAGCCACAGAACAAAGTCAACCAACCACCTGGGGATAACAGCTGTTCTCCACTGGAGAAATTCCTTCAGACACTTAACTCTCCTCCCAGCAGTTTGCTATCGTTCGTCATACAGTACGAGCCAATGGGAAGTCTGGACACTGGAGCACAAAGTGGTCCAGTATCTAGCGGTCAACATGCTGTAGAGATATACGTATAGTATTATATCCCAACAAGTGTGTGTGCATAACATACAACAAATTTAACAGAAACATGCAAAATCATTTACTGGAAATTGATTTAATTCTATTTTATTCTTTTAGTGCCAATCACAACATACGTTATTTGAAGGCACTTAACATAGTAAGATGCAGACATCACAATACTAAAGAGAAACCGAACAGTTCAGTAGAGATGGCAGCCCACCCTGAGTCAAGTCCCGAAGAAGATGAGGGATGTGTGATTCCATGATATTTTAACTGGAGGTTGTGAGGCTCACCAGGACACAGCACATTACACTCATGTGACTGCTAAACACGTCATTCTAAAACCATCTGCACTGATCTATACCCTCCACTCATCTTTGAAGGCTCTCTATCAGATGTTGGGACCTGGCTGCATGCTTTTCCAGTTCATCATTCTTCCAGCCAGTCAGGCTCCACCGCGCCAAAATGGGAAAACCATTATGGTGTTGCCTTTGTGCACAGGGACATTGACACATTGTTACATACATACACCAACCGTTGCCACCAAGCTGGAGACGCACTATTCTGTAAAATACTATTGTTTGATTTAGTCTGATTAAGGCTACATGGAGTGGTGTCTACATAATCTTACTGTATTTACTTGTTTGGGTTTATCGTAAAACTGTACACAAATAGAAATCAAGCTGGAAACACACCATACTAGAATATAGGTAATGTATATGTATTGACCCGAAGTCAATCAAAATCTAAATATGTGGTTGACTACTTTCTTGCAGATTCATCTGTTCTCCTCCTGACCTCATGTACAGTAAATAGTAAAGTAGAGTCAGTCACTGTACCCAGATTGATGGTCCATGTGAGAGGGGACTTTTTCATGTGTTCACCAGGCAAATCTTTTTGTGCCGTTCTTTAGATGGAGTAGCTTCATAACCTTTCCTCACCCCTGCCACACTGTGTTGTGTTACCACCTGCATTACTGTCTTTCTAGGTGTTTTGAATTGTGTCCTGCATGCATGGGTAAGACATAAGGCCACATGGGCTTAAACAAACCCAGGTGTTCCAAGTTGCCGCACACTGAAGCATGCACACTTCATGCACACTTTCTGCTTACACTGCACAAGAATGCAGCTGCATCCTAACACCCATCAGACAACATACACACAGCACAATACACATCCCCTGAACTCTCACACACTCACACAGACATCCATGTGCGTCACTGTGGCAAAGGTCAGCTCTCCAGCTGGATGTCCCTTCCAGCAAAACTTTTCCCACATTTGACCTTAAACTGACATTTTATGATTTTTTTCTTATTGATGGATTCTACTGTTACAGGCTGATTTTATAACATTTTTGTGAATAAACAGTGTGACAATCTGTAAATGTCAAACATGGTGTAATTGACAGACAAATGTCACCCATTCATCAAGATTTTTTATTAACTATGGATGGGCCAAGTGAAAGGGTTAACTTGAAATGATAAATCCACAAATTTCTCTTTTACCTCATTATTTTGGTTTTCATTCTTTCATCAGCTTTGTTTCCAGTAGCAGCTGTTTTCAGTGAGTTGTAATAAATTCACTTTCATATGTATGACTGACATCCAACAGTAGAGAGCAGCTGGTGAGCATAGTGGAACATTTAGCAGCCAAAGAGCCAGACTTCCCTCAGGAAGTATTGGAAAAATAAACAGCTAAACTGAGAAGCAATATTTGACTTAAATTCATCAGGTGGACAAAAATCAGATTTTAAATGAATGCTAAGGTTGTTCTGTGTCTGCTGGTTTGATGATTATCCCCAAATAAAAAGACAAACCTATTAGACTATATGTTCTGAACATCTATGCTCAACATGTGAAACCGAGCACTTAAAAACTGTTGTGAATTGCTGTGTGCTGCTACTTTCAATGGAGAGTCACTAAATGGTGCTGGAAAAGACACCATGGGGACTGAGAAGAGTTAAATGACTTAAGATTGATTGTGAAACTGTAGTGGGTCAGAAAACGTCAGCTCATACGTGGCCCGGGACGCATTTGTGTTCACACTGGTTAAACAATGAAGCCACATGTCTCCCAGACCACTTGAGCATTTGAGTGCATTCACACACTAATAAGCATATTTATGGCATCACTGTTTGATGTTTTCGTTCAGCCTGGCTCTGTCTTACCTTGGCATCACTGCCCAATGGGAATCTCCAACATGGCAATGACCAATGGTGTAACTTCAATCAGCCACAATGCTTTCAGCTGACCAATCATCATTCAGTGAATTGTGGACAGAGGGCTGGCCCAGCTGCTGAGAGCTAAACAAAGTTAATGCAGCTTTAAAGCAGGTTCATGTTAGTTGTAATTAAATGAAAAGATTTTTGAATGATTTGATTTGTTTGAAAGGAGTATATCTGTCACATTACAAATGAAATTCATGAACCTCTCTGCACAAGTACAACAGAGACATTACTTTTAACTAATTGCAGCAGTGTAAATAATGACGAACTATGTGAATAATTACTCAGTTAACAAAAAACATAACTTTTATAACTTATAGGGTATTGATATGTGTTGTATATGGTTTTAAGTTTTAATAAATGCTGCACAATGGAAGCACTGCTTTCTTCTGTTTCTGAATTCCATACATTTTCTTTTGCCAGTTGAGAAATAAAATACAGTATCAAATACAGTAGCCTATATTTTTGTATGGGCTTTGCCCATCACTTCACTGACACAAATCAATGCTAACATTTAGAGAAATATTCCTAAGATGACTTCCATTAAATGGGAAATGTTCTCGACTAGACTTAACATCGAAGTTCTGTGGATTAAAACAACCCTAACACAGAGGTTAGTTTGCAACACATTTGTTTTTCCTCTGGATCAAAATACAATTAATGTTGCTCTTCATGCCTCATGTGATTGTTATAAAGTTAAGTTCACAATTCAAAGCAGGATGTAATCAGATCCTGGTCTGCAGCATTATACTCAATCTGAATCAGAGGCCGCTCAGTTGACACTGGGGAGGACTTGGCACAGAGTCAGCAGCTTCACACTGTGTATGTTGCTTCTGGTTTCCACTGGCAACCTTTCAAGTCAAATCCCTGTTTCTATGAAAGACCGAGCGGAATCTTTCCCAACCCTTTTGTCACTTTGATTTGACTTTTTCTAACTAACCTATTGCCCCTTAGTTAAATTGCTATGTTGTGGTACTGGAGGGTGAAGAACCTACTCAGAAGGAAACCTTTCAGTTGGTTCATAAATGTTATTTTTATCTGTTTAAGCAAAGCTAAAATCAGATCAATTCTGTTTACTCATCTTTTTATGTTAAATAGATGTAAACAGTGTTAACCCTACTGCATCAGTCTGTGGGAATCACTACACACTACTACACAGAAATAAAGAAAACCCTGACACTGTTCAATCCCCCATTAAACACCTTAAAGTTTGTTTTTTTTATTATAAAAAACTGAAACTGCTATTCTGTCCTTATTATCCTGAAGGAACCTTTAATTTTCCACATACAGCAGCAAACACAAATGTGAGGTTCTCTTCTTCACTCTCCAAACTGGTCATCCTCAAATTATTTTCAGACCAGAGTACTGTGTTGACTCAGGGTTATATTGGCCTCCCACTCCTGTGTGTTCATGTGTCAGGCGGCATTGTTCCATTGTCAATCTGTGCTATCTCTGAGAGCCATGCTACTGGATGTATTAGTGGTTCAGCTGAGACGTGTTGTGATCCTATGAACTCTGTAATCAGCCACAGAATAAGATAGATAGATAGATAGATAGATAGATAGATAGATAGATAGATAGATAGATAGATAGGTAAATAGATAGATCTCATATTCCACCATATTGTTCAAAATGACACCAGGTGATTTATTGAACATTACATACAGCATTTATCTTTGAACATTCAAACTTAAAGTAAAAAAGTGAGGCTAAATAAATAAAATGATCTTCAAAAGTTGCACATTTACAGTATTTTCACACAGCATAATATTTCCAACATTGTTCCTCTCTTTAAATGTATGTTACTTTAGCAGCAGACACATCCACCAGACAATAGGTGGTGCTATACAGCAGTTTATGCAGCCAGGCAGACCCGAAGCCATGCTGCCTTCAGGTACTTCTCCTGAACTCAATGGTTTGAAATCTGACGTCCAATTGTTTTAATCAGAAAATATGAAGAAAGCAGACTCTGTAGAAAGTAGTTTTGTGTTTTGGCAATTTTCCTCTTTTCTTAAAACAATGTTTAAATGGAGCATAGGTGTTTTATTTATTCATTATTAACACATTACTAACCTATGACCACTGGTTTTGTAAGCAGCACAGAGTGGGAGGCAGCTCAGAAACTTCTCATTCAGCAGTCTTTAAAGCTTTATGTGTGTGTGTGTGTAGCTCATTGGTGTGGCAGGAGCAGTTTCCTAATAAATATCCCAAGTCACTGAGTCTTGACCCCTTTTGGTTTTAAGAAGCATGCAGCCGGGTGGCCATGCTTCGGTGGCTGAGTTTATGAGTCTTAGAGAGGGTCATGTTCAGGGTCATGGCCCCATTTTTATAAGCCAGCTCCTCCTCCGCCTCCTCTTCCTCCTCCTCCTCCTCCGCATCTTCCTGGCCTCCCACATTGTTCTGCGTCTCAGCCTCAACAGTTCTTTGCTCCCAGGCCAACACGAGGTCCTTTTCTGCATCCATCCAGTGACCAGAGGAGAAGGGTTGACACACAGTTTCAACCAACCCGATGATTGTCCCCAGTACAGCAAACAGAGAGCCCAGCAGATAGATCTTCAACAGACCCCGTCTGGGTTTTTGACTCAACATCTCTCTGGCAAAGGGGATAAGCTCCTGCATGGTTTCCATTCCTGCTGCTTTAGATAAGACATAAGAGTGGGTCAGAAATGATGTGTAGACCTTTAATAATGATTTTTAAAACACATAGAAACAACGGCTTGATGCATTTATCACACAAAACTACCAGACATTAGGTTGTTCCAGCTGTACCTAACCTCAGATAATTTAAAAATAACTAAGCCTTTTGGTTCTGGGAACTTAGTAGAAATTGTTACCACATCACATACTAGCTGAACAGCAACAAGCAGCAGCATAAGAAACAAAGCTCTTAAATGGATCTGCACAACATACAAAACATATTTGACACGTAATAATAAATGCAGCAATAATAACTAGAAAATACACTATACAGTAACAGAAGCATAACACCCTTTACTGTGAATAACAAACAGCATGTCCACATGAATAGCTTACTGTAATGCAGTCTGTTAGTTCTTGTAGTCAGGCGTGTACTCCAGTTTGCTGCAGGAACACACCTTTTCTGGACACTCTGGCAATTTATATACCCATTCACTCCACCCACACTGTGACAGCTGCTGAATATTCATGTGTGGAGGAAGTACAGAAAGCCAGACACTTTGACCAAGATATGTGTAGACTTATTACTCAATTTTAAGCATGTGCATGTAAGAGTTGGCATTGTTGATAAATCACTAGTGTTACATCCATGGTCCATACATCTGTAGTTCCTACCTCTATGAGTATCATTCTTTCAGTCCTCTAATTGTTCAAAAAACTAAAACTATAGCATCTATTCAACCTTAA